AAGGCGTCTAGCGTAGAAGTGCCAAAAGAAGTCGGAAACTACACGGCTTTTATCAAAAAATCCCAACGCAAAACTCTCGAAATATTCACCCACTTAAACGACATAAAACTATCCTTACGGGTCCGAGAGAGAAGCACGAAATCCACCATCGAAAGAGAGAGACAGATGCGAAATCTCTCGCGGCGTCAAAACTCGCAAAACCTGACAGGCGATTAATGCAATTATTGGGCGTTATTTAAGCTCTATCGCGCAGAGCAAGATCTCAAAATCAATAAATTAGGATCCAAAAACCCTGAGATGAGGAAAGAACGCGACATTAACCCGAGACATGCGACTTCCAACACCAAACATGTGCGAAACTCACCAGCGAATACCTCGCAATTTCCCACTCGCCTACGCCGTAGTCAAAATTCCTCAATCTCGCCCAATATGTTACTCACGTCGCTGAAAATATTCCTAACTCACCCACTATTGTCTTACACTAACAATAACTCCCAAGTCGTTAGTAATAATCGCTTAACGAACGGCACAATAAGTCCAAACTTCTCAACACGTGGTCACTCTGAGGCTGCGAGAATCGATACTGCCATTCAATGGCGGCTCGGTGCACGGAGAGGGACGTAGACAGAGCGCCACGTGCGTCTGGATTGCGCAACAATTACATAATGGTCGGTAACCGGGGTTTCTACCTAACGAATTTCAAATTTAAATAACTCTAAACAAAAATTAATTACTACAACGATTGAAATGGATGTCAGAGTGGGTTAATCTCTTGTCCGGAGTCGTATTCTCGGGATCACGGGGCTAGGAAAATAAATTACAAAAGAAACGAACAAAACTTAATTACAGAAAAATGAAAACAATTAGAAAAATCGAACTCAAATGACCTTGGCGATTCACGCGAGAGCGACGGTCGGGATTGATCGCGTGACCTTCCACCTAACCCAAAACTAACCCTTCCCAAACCCCAAAAATCCATTAATTGAGTGGTAGTATTCCAACTACTCCTACACAATCCCCGAAAATTCAAAACGAAGGGAAAAATCCTCAAAAATGATCGCGCAGCTCGGTAGTATCTCGGCCTAAGTCACGAAAATTCTATCGGCCCTATATAGTTCATTTTTCTCCTTCCAATTAACAAAACAGAAAGCGTGAAACGCAAAAGAAAAGACAAAACGAATCCAAAAATACGAAAGAGGCGTCAGAACGCAAAACAAAATTCACAATAATGAGAAAAATGATAAAAAAAAGGGGTTAGAACGGAAAACCGAAATTCTAATGAATCCAAAATGACTCGAAATCTCTAATTATTAACAAAAATGAATTGACTCGAAACTATTGGCTCGACTGAGTCATTTTCTCTGCGTACGTACGGTTTTTCTGGTAGTTTTTCCGTTGATCCCGCGGCGAGCGAAGGAATTTCCCCAGAATCCCTTACAAGATCAATGGAACAATTACACCACGATGCGCCAAGGATGTTTGAGTCTTGAATTCGACCACAGAACTCGTTTTTGTGGCATTTTTCAAGTAAAATGAGATGAAATTAAATGAATGATGAGGTTTCTGAAAACAGCTGATCAAGATTAATAAGTTTCATTGGAATAAAAAATGCGGTTGCCATTTGAAAAAAAGCACTTCGTGCTTGCAGCTTGCAAGCGTGAGCTTGAAAGCTCAAAATAATAATAACATCGGATGTCCCCCTCGAAACCCTACAATTTTTGTATCACACATTTTTTTGTAACCCGCCCCCCTTGAGAGATATTTAGCTGCATCTTTTCAGATGGGACACCCTGCATATAAAACAAATAACATCGAGATAATAATGGATAAATCAAGGATATGAATTCGCATATCGAAACAAGCATAGAGCATATTGCGAGGTCAATAAAAATAAAATATGTCGAAAATAAGATGCAATAGCAAAATAAAATCGGATGCGATATAAGCCAAGACTAGGCAATAAAACAGTAGAAAATTTAGATGATTTACTCTCTTAAAGTAAAGCAGGATCTAGCATAGTAGAATATCGATTTCAAGGACTTGGGGTTCTCGGTGCTCAGAATTCTAGTAACTAAGACCTCATCAGATTCCCCCACTGGGCGGGATGCAAGGAGGTAGGTCAAGTGGTGCTCCCAGATCCTCCAGGTGGCGAGAACCCATCACATTCCAGAAGGCAATCGAGAGGCCGGTATTGGCTATTTTAAGATAGGATTGAGGAGGCTGCTTGCCAAACAATTTCCGGAGGCCTTAGGGATGGCTGGTTGCTGACAGAAGGAGGCTGCGGCATGCTGCTGGTGCTGCTGGTGTTGTTGGGGATAACCTACGCTTTGTGACAGCTTCGAGGATTTCATTACGCTGGATTTGTCTGGTTTTAACTCGCTGCTTTTTTTTCCCAGTAATATTTCGCTCCATCAACAACCAGGCTCTGGTACCTAACCATAACAATATGACCTTATTGTTTGAGGGTCTTCGCTTAATTCCTGATAACCTTATCGATGTCTCTTTCTTTGCGCGTAAGGTCTCTGTTGATATAGACACTGGTAAGTGGATAGGATTTCTTGGCATTCCAGATGGCAAGTTCTGAGTCGAAGGTATTCAGCATGGTCTGGATGATAGGGTAGGAGCCTCTGGATCCGATAATTTTGGTTGCGCTTACATTTTTCTCGACCTTGAGAGCGGAAGCTAGGAAGTCGTTTACATGATCCTTGATACTACCTTTTTGAACCTGAAGACCAGAAATGATGAGGTTATTTCTCTTAGCCTGCTTCTCCAGGTCTTCGAGTCTGACCTCAACCCCAGAGGAGCCATTTAGCCTGATATTTGGAGGGAGACCAGCATCGAATTGGTTCTTCATTGAGACCACTTCTTCTTCAAACCTTTCGTATGTAGCGTCTAGATCGTCACGAACCATATTTAGCTCAGATTTAATTTCAGCTTTGAATTCGTTGAGTTTCTCCTCTTGAAGTTTGGCAGAGTCATTTAGCAGTTTGTCCATGTCCTTGAATCTTGTTTAATTTGGTCTCTGCAAGGCTGCAAATTCTTGCTTATTCTCCCGCTTCATTTCCTCCAGCATCTTCACAATAGTCGAATCAGCTGACATTTCCTCGGCGTTACGTGGGCTCGGGTTGAGATGAGAAGCAGTCGAGAGTGGAGACGAGGTCGGAGATGACGGGCATGAGCTGAAATCGGGCTCAGAGACAGACGAGTCCTGGTCACTCGCAAGTAGATATGTCCCAGACTTAATGAGTTTCAGGATTCTTTGTGATTCCAGAGATTCAGAACGCTCAGACGAAGGCTTCCTTTTTCTTTCGAAGTAAAGGTCTTCTAGGGTTGGAGTGGAAGAGTCCTTGTATTTCCCCCACGTCGCCACAGTGGGCGGTTGTCCTCTCGGAGAGTCTTTGACAGGTGCACAGGTGCAACGGATGGAGTAAACACTGCAGGCGAGCGGCCGGGTCTGACGGGGATCGGTGTACCGGCAGCAGGTCTATTTTTCGGCGTTGATGATAAGTTGGCAGCAGAGATGTAGTTCAACGACATAGAGCCTGACCCGCGTGGTAATGAGCAACTTGAAAACCCGCCTTTACCGGTATAACCTCAAAATTTATATCGGCGTAAAAAATATAAAAAGCGAAGCTGTGTCAGCCGGAATCAGTCCAATTATTATCACAAAACCTCCATAAAATAGTAGCGGATAGACAACCACGGAAATTATAGACACAAATACCACGCAACAAGATTTAAAGAGTAAAAAATACGACACACACATGATCGACTATAATCGACTACTACTTAGCCGCCATAACGGAACCCTCCAATCAATCAAAAATTAAATTTTTCCCTCATAGTTAAATAAAGTTTTAACTCATTCATTTCTCCATGATTGTTGAAATAATCCAAATTTTCCATCCGTGGTTTCTCTTTAATTTTTCACACTCACAATTGTCATATGGCTTATTATTCGTTCGAGATTCATTTATATTTCACAATAAGCATCTACTAAATTAACAATGATAAAAATAATTTTACCAAAATAATTCACTCGAAATGCACAAATTTTAATCTATTTCTCTTGAAGCGTGAGGGGGAGTATAAGACTCCATGATGTGATTGCGGAAGAGATGACGCGAAACATGACCGGAACGAAGAATTGCGGGAACTGAGGGAACTGTCCTAACTGAATTTTTGGGGTGTGTCAATGCACTTTTATTAACTCGCATTGTAACTGTCTTAATTAATATATGAATATAGGTTTTATGTATTTGTTTAATGGAGGGGGCATCACACGATGTCGATACACAAAGGTACACCTCGGTACGGATACCTGAACCTCCTGGTAATGACGCACTTGGAGACAACTCCAGGCGTTATCAGCTAACTATCACGTGATCGTTATATAAATTTTCTCATTATCTTGTTATTCTCTTCGTCAAATTCGTTGCTTTGATGAAGGGTCTTATTGAGACGGTTTCCAGCTGCACAATTTCTCTTTTGATTACACGTTATTTCATTGTTTTTCATAATATTAATCTTTAATTTTTTTATTTTTAATATTTTATTTCCATTATTTATGATGGAAAAATGCTATACATTGCTTGACGTAACACTATATAAACTTGAACATCTTTGGAATAAGAAAAAGGTAGCTGCTAATAAATTCTTTATAATTCAATCAGAAAAATGAGATTTTCTGCATTTTTATGAATGAGATTTAATTCATTAACATATTTTGGTCATGAGCATGTAACTGCATTCTTTTATTAAAAAAAATGTTTATGTTCATGAAATAACCATTGTTTCCCAATTAAAAAAATTTGTTTTTACAATTTCCTCAATTCTAATTTCGACCACTAAGCGTGCAGTGTTCGGGATCACATGACACCTTCACTGATTTTTTTGGGGGGGATAAGAGCAGGGTGGAGAAGGGAGAATAGTTCATCTTGGTTTTAGCGAGGTTCAAGAGACTTTGATTGATTTGCTATTCTTCTTCTTTTGGATTTCAGGAACAATCACACAAGTCGTATAGACCAATCTGCGTTCTCACATTCCGATGGAATTACATGATTCATCAGTTGGATCCAATGGGATACCATCTTCTGAACGTGGTTTTGCATGTTGGAGTTTGCATTTTGTACTTCAGGTAATTTTAGCTTAATTTACATAAGTGGATGAAGAATCTATAATTAGATGATTTGTAATGTGCTTTATGCAGAACATGCCTGATGTTCCTGTCGGATCTGGCGAGTTTTGTGGCTGCTCTGTTGTTCGCGGTGCATCCCATTCATACCGAAGCTGTAAGTGAAAAAGGAATACGGTTTTTTATTGAGGATTTTTTTATTTTGCAATGAAGTGATAAAAAAAGGTGGTGGCATTATTCCCAACTTTTACAAGAAAACCAAATGAGCATGCTGAGAAGTGAAATTTTTGCTACCGAAAAAATATTTGTTCAAAAATGATTTACTTCTCTGAAGAGAAGTGTGCAACATAATCATTCTTTGAACACCTGAACATAACTGGCCTGGAGAATTAAATCTTTCAAGTGATTCACTTCTCTCAAATTAGTCCATGCGCTGAGGGGGGTTGAGTATACATTTTGAGGAAAATGATTGCGACAAAACTTTTTTCATAGTTTTTGAAGTGTAGAATCCGAATTTCTTGGTATGCCGGCTGAATTTTACAGCAAAAGCATTATTATTAACATTTAAAAGTTTATATTCCCCTCTCGCAGCCATTTTGGGTCATACTCGAAAAAAGTTGGAACAAAAAATTCGCCAGGATCCGTAGGAAATCTAATAGCGTTGATTTTTCTAAATATTCCAAACGGTTTTTGAGATATAAATTTTATAATGCAACGCACAGTGCTCCCATCGGAATCGTCTGCGGCCAGGCCCGCCTCTTGGCGTTTGAGCCATATCAATGTCATAAAATGACGTCATACTTAACAATGTTTATAACAAAAAATGTTTCATAATGGATAACAAAGAAAGCGCTGTTTAGTTTTTCAAAATATTTCCATAAATTAACAAGATATGGATATTTCAACCAGTCGCATGGGTGCTACATCTGAACCGAATATCACCGCGGACTCCTCCGAGAGTTTGAGGGATATTGACATGAACAAAAGCAGTTGAATTTGAAAAAATTCGAATGTCAATCATTCCACAATCCATACCGCGTAGAATTACGTTGGATTTTCTTCAATATTTTTATAATTCATCCACATCACAGCGCTCGTGCACGTTTTGAAGGAAGGATTGAGTAACTTTTGGATGGTATGATCAAACAGGGACATACATTTATCATCATGGATCAATAGACATCTCTCATTTGTGTAAATTCAATGCCATCACATATAAGATGCAATGAAATTAGAAGATTCATTTTATTATGTTTAGAAAATTTTCATAAACATCTCAGTTTATTTCACTATGCAACACTAAAATTGTACATTTTGGTTCACGAATGTCACGAAAATTAAAAAAGAATAACATGGATAGCACTTTTAATGCGTTATATACTTCCAACATTTTCAATAGCCAATCATAAAATTCTAAATTTTGGTTCACTAATATTCCACAAATGCTCATGTAATAAGAGTTTGAAGCTTCCGTACATCTACTTAAGATTAGTATGAATTGTGAGGTATTTTTCTCCACAGCGCTCGCAGGTTTAAAACTCGTGGTCCTCCACTAACTTTGCAGCCCCTTAAGGTACCGCTCAACCTGAAAAAAATTAACGATGGGGAAAAATCGAGAGAAACCAAATGCCAATCAGGGCGCCAGTTCTTTTAACCTCCAAAGTACAACGTCACGCGTGTCCGAACAAGTACTGCACAACTAGCTCAGATAAAGAACCGCAGAGGCGTGTGAAAACAGGCAGAAACTGTACGCTGAACACCGTGTTAATTCTCAGAAAAAAAATGTATTTCGACAAAAAAACCTATTTCTCGATGATGGGATACAAAACAAATAATTTTCAATAATCATTTCCGTCCCGGCGGGCGCAAGATTACATTTCCCTCCCGCTTCGCGGGAGGGAACTCTGACTTTGCGCCTACGCCGAGATGGAAAATCGCGTTCTAATCACGGGAAGTAAAATAAAGGACCCTCAGCCGCGTGCTTATCAACCTCGCCTTCGGCTCGGCTGGTAATTGCACTGGCGGCTGAGGATCCTTTATTTTCCCTCCCTAGGTTAGAAATATACTATTCATCTCAAAGCATGATAATCAAATAAGAATTATAATCTCAAAGAAAACCAATAAAAAAACTAAGTATGACGTGGCTATTATATGAAGGAAACATTGGGCTGGGTTGTTGGGCGCTTGTTTCGCTCGCTCCCATTGCATGTGGGCTGGAGTGGATGTGACCCATTAAGGGTCAAACCAATAACTTCCTCACCAATTTCCATTTTTCTGTTCATCCAATATCCAATGTAGAAAAATATCCGTGAGTATTACCAAGCTTCATTCTTTGGTTTGTGTTCTCAATTCCTTCTTCCTCGTGCGTGAAACATATTAATTAAGTTTCGAAATGACATCTGATTTGTCCAATTTTTGTCAATATTTCATCAACTTATGAGAGTTTTAGACGAAAGTTAAATTTTCGTGCTTCCCTTGAAAAATTAATTTTGTTTGGATTTTTCGATCCACCTGAATGGATCAGGCGAGGATACCTATATTTTATTGGGTAGAGCATTTGCTATTCTTCGAAATTGTGCAGAGTAATTCGATTGAATGAAATTTTCGTCTAGTTATATCAGATAGTTTCTACTTTTTACGTTATTTCACGCGCCAAAAATGATAGTTTTTTGCCATTTATTGAGGCTGTAGATAGGACCTGTGAGAATAAATCATATGTCAATTTAAAGGTCACGTCATCTTCCAATTGACACTCTATATCATCTATTTCATCCACGACATTAATTGTTCTACGCGATAATGTAGCGATTTTAGAATGTCATGCTTTGAAAATTTCCATGGTTTTTCTCCTAATGACAAGATTTGCTCCGTTTCTATTCAAATCGGTAGAAAAATTTTATGCTCAGGTGAGAATATTTTAAATTACCTTGAAATTTACCCAGAATTATTAGATTGAGGCTAATTTTCACCAACATATCTGGGTTTTTCATTTAAGATTTACCTTTCATAATGTTTATTATAAATTCAGCTTCTATAATTATCGGTCAAATAAATGAAACTATTCATATGCCAGACCACAGGGTAGTTGATCTTATGGAGCAGAAACTTCATGGGCCTGAGAATTAAAAAAATGACGTGTATTGATCTCATGCAATCTAGTTAGAAAAAAATATCAAATTTTGAAATTGCCGCCGAATAACGCGGAAATCGTTGAGATGATTTGACTCAGTATGCAATCAAAATCGGATAATTCTAAGCCAATCCAATGATTCTAGGGGTCATGAAATGTTAACAATTCTTGGAAATTTCACTTTAATTTTTCGGGTTAATTACGAAAACTTCCTGTTTTAGGGTTAGGAAGTTAATCACGTGTAAATGCATTGTTCGTACAAAAAAATCAATTACCATCATTATTCGCGGTAAGATTGTTGAATTTTCAAGGAAAATTAATTTTTTTCAATCATTTTCACGTTTTAGGCGAGTAACCCATGAACCGCTGACACGATCATCTTTATAAACTAATCAGTTTTAATTTGCATTAACACGCATCGATTAAAAAAAATTTCAAATCGCATCATTACTTCAGAAGAAATAGTGGAATATGTCGGAAAAACATAATTTTTGACGTTTTTTCACATGTTTTTTGCGAATTACTCAAGAACAGCTGAGACGATCGTCTTCATAAACTAATCAGTTCTAAGTTACATAAAGGCACATCGTTGGAAAAAAAAAATCACATCGCTTCATATGTTCAGTACATATAGTTGGACAAAATTTTGACCACAGACACACATACACACACACACACATACACAGTGTGTGAAAGTGAAAGGAGAATGGGCAAATCAGTATGCAGGTCTGATGCACTGATCATTCGCCCGAAAGATGAGATGAAGTATGCCGAGATACTAACCAAAGTGAAGACCATGTCCCGACTGACTAGGCGCTGGGATGTGTCGGCAAGATACGCAGAACAGCCACTGGGGACATGCTCATCGTCTTGACAAAAGACAGTGCCAGCAAACTCCAAGTATTGCAAACGACCATTGCCGGTCTCTTCGAAGAAGACGCTAAAGTTCTTAGCAACGGATCTCAGCAGAATATCTAGATCAAAGATCTCGATGACACGACAATAAAGGAGGAAATTCTGGCTGCCCTGTGTAAAACAGCGGGCAACGAGGTCCAGATTACACTGGATGCCATAAAATCCCTGCGAAAGGCCTACGGAGGGACCTAGACGGCGTTGGTGACACTACCTGTGCCCGTGGCGTAGAAGATCTTGGGTGACTATGGTAAAATCCGGATAAACTGGGTTAATTGTCGAGTGAGGAAAGTGGAGAGACCGGTTAAGTGCTTCCAGTGCTGGTACTATGGACATCTTGCCACAAAGTGCACGAGTACAATCGACCGGTCTAAGCTCTGCGTCAAATGCTCAGCGACCGGCCACAAGGCCTCAGACTGCACGGAGCAGCCCCGATGCGCTTTGTGCATCGAGAAAGGCAACACGGAGAATTATGCCCACATTGCTGGTAGCAGTAAATGCCCAGTGTATAAGGAGGCACTCCAGAAGGTCCTCAATAAACGACGATGAAGGTACTGCAACTAAATCCCAACCATTGTGAAGATGCACGCGACCTGCTTATGCAAACGGTGTGGGAGTAGAAGCTTGATCTTGTCATGATCTCAGAGCCGTATCGACATCTCGGCACCCAATCCTGGATGACTGAAGCCAGCAGGAAGGCTGTAATCTGGGCTTGTGGGAAACGGCTAGTCCAGAGCACTACGGGCAGTAGTATACGAGATGGTTTCGTCAAGGTTAAGGTTGATGGAATACATTTCTATGGCTGCTATGCCCGACCGAGCCTTTCCGTCGATCAATTTACGGACTTCCTAGACAGACGGACTGAGGATGCGAAGCAGCACTTTCCCGCGACAATAGCCGGAGACTTCAATGCTTGGGCAGTTGACTGGAAAAGTAAGGAGACCAATAGCAGAGGGCAAGCCGTACTGGAAGCCATGTCATCTTTGGATGTGGTTCTACTGAACAGTGGCGATGAACCGACTTTTATGAGGGGAGAGGCGAGTTCAATTGTGAACTTTACATTCGTGAGCAGCAACCTCGCAAAGAGGAACTGCTCATGAAAATTAATGGATACCTACACCGCAAGCGAGCATCGTGCGATACTTTGGGAGACATGTACTCACTAGAGAGTCGCCTCGACTTCTAAGAAAACCAACTGCATTGGCTGGAGAATGAGCATCATCCATCCTAGCTCTTATCTAGTCGCACTGGACGATCGCCCGATTAATGGCAATAATGCTACTGAGAAGGTACGGAATATCATGAAAAAAGTGACAGAAGCATGCGATGCCACCATGTCGAGGAGATGGACAGCATATCGCAAGCCACCTGTATATTGGTGGAATGACACCGTCGCCATTCTACGGAAGGCATGCAATGCAGCCAGGGGATTGTCTCAGCGTGGCCGTAAAAAGCCAAACTTCGAGGAGCTGCAGTGGAGATATAAGGAAGCACGCCGGAAGCTCAGCAAAGCAATCGAACGCAGTAAAAAACAATCTTGGAGTGAGATTCTTGATGAGGTGGAAGGTGATCCATGGGGGAGACAGTATAAGGTGGTGATGATGCGACTCGAGAGTCAATGCCATCGCCTACGTGCTCTGTGCTGATGGAGAGAATTGTCACGGTGTTGTTTCCCCAACGACCAGAGCTTCACAGTACTGGTGAACGGGAGAAGGAGTTAATGGTTCCACCAATCACCAAAGAAGAATTGATGGAAGTTTTCAATAGAGTGGATAACACCAAGGCCCCTGGTCTTAATGGAGTTCCCAATATCGCACTGAAATCAACTATTCATGCAATTCCGGATCTATTCATGGATGTCTACAACGAGTGTTTAAGGGAGGGTACCTTCCCAGCCATGTGGAAACAGCAGAGACTAGTATTGCTCCCGAAAGGGAATAAACCACCGGACGATCCTTCATCATACCGTTTCCTCTGCATGCTAGATACCGCTGGCAGGATCCTCGAGCGTATCGTCCACCGAAGGATAGACGCAGCGGTCGAACCCTTGTTGGCCGACAACCAATATGGGTTCCGAAAAGGCCGATCCACCCTAGACGCTATCAACCTGGTCGTCAACACCGCTAAGGACGCGATCTCAGGGAAAAGACAGCTGAATGGTACAAAGAAGTACTACTTGGTAGTCACGCTAGATATAAAGAATTCTGTCAACTCGGCCAAATGGGACCGTATTATCGAGGCATTGGTGAAGTTCAACGTACCGGGATACTTGCAGAGAAAGCTCGGGAGCTATTTCACTGGAACAGTCCGTAAATAGGACACGGAGTGTGGTTCCAAAGAGTACAGAGTCTCCGGAGGGGTACCGCAAGGTTCCGTATTGGGTCCTCTGTTGTGGAACATCATGTATGACGGGCTATTGAAGCTGGAATTGCTGCGGGAGACTAAACTCGTGACATTCGCAGATGATGTGGCCGTAGTCATCGTAGGAATATATTTGGAGGAGATCAACTTTATTTTCGACATGGTGTTCGAGATGATCAGCCGCTGGATGGACTCAGTGGGTCTGAACCTTGCGGAGCATAAGACGGAAGCCATGTTGATCACTAGCAGGAAGAAAATCGAGACTATCACGCTGCAGGTCGGGTCTTGTGAAATTACTTCCCAGTCGTTCATCCAATACCTGGAGGTGATGATCGATGCCCGACTCAACTTCAAGCAGCAGGCAGAACACGTGGGTATCAAGGCGTCCGGAGTCAAATCCACCTTATCACGCCTCATGCCCAACATCGGAGGTCCCAAACAAAGAAGACGAGCGCTGCTGTCTTCACTGGTTATGTCGGTGCTCACTTATGATATTGCCATTTGGGCTGACGTACTCGAGTTGCAGGAAGCGCGGCGTAGGATCGCACCCGTCTATCGAGTGAGTGCCCTCAGAGTTGTGAGTGCATACCGGACGGTGTCGGAGGATGCAGTGTGTGTCATCGCAGGAATGTTACCGATAGAGGTACTAGTTGAGGAGCGAAGATCCCTGTACCAGCGGAAGAGATCGGAAGTGCTGAGTCCCGAAGAACTGGCGATAGAAGAGAAGCGAAACAGCTTAAAACGATGGCAGCTGAAGTAGGAGAACTCCACCAAAGGGAGATGGACTCATCGTCTGATCCCGAAGGTGGATGTCTGGCTGAATCGCAACCATAGAGAAGTCAATTATTATCTCACACAGATGATGTCGGGACACGGGTGCTTCCGGGCCTATCTTCATAAATTCAAACATGAGAATTCCCCGGAGTACCCGATCGGCATAGGAGCACGTGTTTTTCACATGCCCACGCTTCAGTGAGATCCGGAGTACCTGGGAGACTGCACTCGGAAGGCGGGTCTTGCCTGGGAACGTGATAAAAGTTTTGCTGTCATCGCAGGCAGCCTGGGACATAATGAGCAACTTCGCACCCCAAGTCATGAAGAAGCTCAGAAATGAGGAGCGCAAGCGCAAAACTGCAGAATAGATGCAAAACCTGTTGGACCCTCCTACGCTCATACAACATCTTAGTAGGACAGGGGGACGTACAATAGGCTTAAACAACGAGGAAGGGCAAACAGCTGAGACCTCCCTCGCGAAGTAATACTTAACGGTGGTGCCGCGAGGGAAAGTAGGGTGGACGAATTCCCGGGGTCAAGTGGTTTTAGTGGGTGAGGGCCCCACACAGCGTGTGACGGTAACCGCCATGTTACTATCCACTATCGTGCGGTTAGGTACATTTCGCCTCAAGACTCGGGAGGGGAAAAAAAAGAAAAAAAAAAGAAAAACACACCCACACGAGCGCTGCTATCTTCAGTGGTCACGTTGGTTCTCACGTATGGCATTCTCATCTGGGCTGACGTACTCCAGCTGCAAGAAACGCGGCATAAGATTGCACTAGTCTGCCGACTGAGTACCCTTAGAGTTGTAAGTGCATACCGGACGGTGTCTGAGGATGCAGCGTGTGTCATAGCAGGGATGCTACCTATAGAGGTACTAGCTGAGGAACGAAGATCTCTGTACCAGCGGAAGAGATCGGAAACGCTGAGCCCCGAAGAACTGGTGACGGAGGAGAGGCGAAACAGCGTGAGCCGATGGTAGCAGAAATGGGCCGACTCGGTCAAGGGAAGATGGACCCATCGTCTGATTCCACATGTGGTTGTCTGGGTGAGTCGAACGCAAGGAGAAGTTAATTACTATTTGCGTCAAATGCTTTCAGGACACCGGTGCTTTCGGAAGTATCTTCATAAATTCACACATAAAAATTCCCTGAAGTGCCCCATCTGCACAGGAGTGGACGAGAACGTGGAGCATGTATTTTTCACATGCCCCCGCTTCAGTGACATGCGGGATACTTGGGAGTCTGACCTTGGAAGGAAGGTCTCACCCGAAAATCTGGTGGAAGCAATGCTGTCATCGCAGGCAGCCTAGGACGCAACGAGCGACTTCACGGCAGCAGTCATGAAGGAGCTAAGAATTGAGGAGTGCCAGTGGAAGACCCCAGCATAGGTGAAAAATCTTTTGGAACCCCCTACCTACACTCAACATCCTAGGTGGGTAGGAGGATGTACTCTAGATGCAAACAATGTGGAAGAGGAAAGAGCTGAAACCTCCCTCGCGAAGTAATATTGAACGGTGGTGCCGCGAGGGATTTAAAGGTTAGTGAATTCATCTGAACGGAGCTTAGTGGGTATTAGTCCTTGTGACTCGAGCCCCACATACCCCAGTTGTAGGAGGAAATTTCGATTCCCTCCCTCAAGTGGGGATGGGTAAATGCATTCTCTAAACAGACGTAAAAAAATATACACACACAAACAAACGTCTTCAAAACGTGTCAGGATGAGTCTAGGGGTTATGAAACGTCGACAAGTAATGAAAATTCCAATTTTGATTTTCGGGGTAATTACAATAACATCCTCCCTTAGGGTCGGGAAGTTAATAATAAGTACAACTAAAGGAATCCGATTATTGAGCGCGGATTACGTAACGAACGTGAGGATCACCCGTACGCAACGATAACGCGAGAGCCACGATGACAGTTGAATATGGGTGTAATTATTCCCGAATGACACACAAGAAGTGATATTACAAGAACTTTAAACAGTTATCATAGATCGACATGCGTAATATAATTAAAGTGACAGCAAAAGGCTTCCGAGTGCCGCGCTGCCACAGGCCAGGCCGAATCCTCAAACTCAAACAGTGCCGAAATGTCCTCCGATGTAACGACTATTTTGACCACGCGAGCACTCACAAAGGAATTACGCTCATTGCTGAATCCGCGAGAAAACTCCAGGATAATCTCGTCTGGGCCCTCAGTACAGCAATGATGTCGGACGGTAGGCCGGAAAAATCCAAGCACAACACAACAACCAAAAAATTCAAACTTTCGGATCTATAGTAGAGCTTTAGATGCGAAGAAAAACTTGAATTGCGTAGAGCGACTTGGTACTGCTGAACCCCAGCGAAGGGTGTCTCGTCGGGGCAATCCGTCGCCCCGAGGAACCTCGAAATGCTCTTCTACCCCCACCCT